AAATATGATGACATTCAATAAGGACAAATGCAAAGTACTCCACTTAGGAAGGAACAATCAGTTGCACACATACAAAATAGGAAATGACTGCCTAGGAAGGAATACTGTAGAAAGGGATCTGGGGGGTCATAGTGGATCACAAGCTAAAGTTGAGTCAGGAATGTAACACTGTTGCAAAAAAAGCAAACATCATTCTGGGAGGTATCAGCAAGAGTGTTGTAAGCAAGACATGAGAAGTAATTCTTCTGCTCTACTCCGCGCTGATAAGGCCTCAGCTGGATTACCGTGTCCAGTTCTGGGAGCCACATTTCAGGAAAGATGTGGACAAATTGGAGAAAGTCCAGAGGAGAGTAACAAAAATTATTAAAGGTCTAGAAAACATGACCTATGAGGAAAGATTGAAAAAATTGGGTTTGTTTAGTCTGAAGAAGACTGAGGGGGGAACAGTTTTCAAGTACATAAAAGGTTGTTAAAAGGAGATGAAAAAATTGTTCTTAACCTCTGAGGATAGGACAAGAAGCAATGGGCTTAAATTGCAGCAAGGGAGGTTTAGGTTGGACATTAGGAAAAACTTCCTAACTGTCAGGGTAGTTAAGCACTGGAATAAATTGCCTGGGGAAGTTGTGGAATCTCCGTCTGTGACGCTCTGTACCTCGGGGGAACACCCTGCACCCCCATGTTCATCCTTATAATAGATTGTGTGGTATCCATTGCAAAGTTTGTCATGTTGGGTGTCTTCGGAAGGCTCATGATGCACTGAGCATTGTTGTTATTTCATGTATATAGTTATGAGGCCGAAAATGTGACCTCATGGCTTAAAACAAGCCCAGGCAAAACTCTCCAGGAGCAGAGGGGCAGGTCACACCTCATCAAGGCATGTATGAGACAAACCCAGCCCAGCCTCACAGGAACAAAGAACACTGGCCTAGGCAGCAACAATGGATCTGTTGGACTCTTGAGTGAGTCATCCCCCTTCCCTTGGTCAGTTTGGGACTACGATGAGGATTACCTGACTCTGAAGTGGCGGGGGGGGGGGGGAGGGGCGGGGGAGGCGGCAAAGCCAAGAGGGAAGAAAAGACATGATAAAAGGGAGAGATGCTTGCCATGCTCTCTCTCTCTTCCACCTCCATCTACAGACACTATTACCAAGCGACTGAAGCGCTGATCAAAGGGGAGAGCCTGGCTGAACGGCAACCAGCCAGCCTGTGGTGAGACGCATCTAAGTTTGTAAGGGCACTGAAAGTGTTAAGATCAGCTTAGAATGCGTTTTGCTTTTATTTCATTTGACCAAATCTGACTTGTGCTTTGACTTATAATCAATTAAAATCTATCGTTTGTAGTTAATAAATATGTTTGTTTATTCTACCTGAACCAGTGCATTTGGTTTGAAGCATGTCAGAGACTCCCCTTGGGATGAGAAGCCTGGTACATATCAATTTCTTTGTTAAATTGACGAATTCATATAAACTTGCAGTGTCCAGTAGGCATAACTGGATATTGCAAGACGGAGGTTCCTAGGGTTGTGTCTGGGACCGGAGATATTGGCTAGTGTCATTCGGTTACACAATCCAAGCAGTGGCTGGCCAAAAGTGCTCACTCACATAGATGGGAGCAGCTTACATGCTAGAGGCTGTGTGTGAACAGCCTGGGAGTGGGGGTTCTCACAGCAGAACAGGGTAAGGCTGGCTCCCAGAGTCCAGATAACACCAGGGGAATGTCACACCGTCACTGGAGGTTTTTCAGAACACATTAGACAAACATCTGTCAGGAATGGTCTAGTTATTACTCAGTCCTGACTTGAGTGCAGGGGAATGGACTAGATGACCTACTGAGGTCCCTTCTAGTCCTACACTTCTGTATTTCTATTCTATGATTATTTTGCCCACCAATTAGGCCTAATTTCTGATACACTAATTTGGTCCATTGACTTCCAGTCCCACACTTTGTTTTCCAGGCATGAACTTAACATAGTCCTTGAGTTATATCACTGGGTCTTTTCGTTCGGACTAATTCACTCTGTTTGTGTACCTTTTCCAGCTTTTCCTATCAGCACTCATTGTTATAGATTACTGTAATACTTTACAAACTTTTATCCACTTGCCCACAATTAGGCTCACAACCAGGGTAGACCTACTAGGCCCCAATTATCATTACAGGACATAGCTGGTGTTAGGGGTAAGCAGGAGAAGGGGGGACCCGGTGAGGGGGAAGGAATCTCTGTATTTTAGGGCTCATAAATCCTACACTCACCGTCTCATTCTCCTCTTCCTCAGATGTTTCATTTTCCCTCACTCCACTACAGCAGCTGCTCACGTTGGATGAGGAGCGTGAGAGTGGCTGCATCACACAATATCCCAAGGTTTGATTGGAGAGGGTTCTGAAATCCAAGTCCAAAGTTATCACCATCATTGCGATACACAGATCTCATTTTGTACCATCCAACCAAGACCCTTCCAGTGCTTTGCAGACAGTAACAAAGCCTTACAAGTCGCTGTGGGGCAGCTTTATTGTAATCATCCATATTGATGGGGGGGATCTCCATAGAGGGGAACTCACTCATCCATGGTCAGTGTCAGAGCCAGGAATAGAACCTGGCAGAACTGGCTCCCGATCCCTGGCTCTAATCACTAGCGACCACATTCAAGGTACCTATGTGAGGGGATAAAAAGTGAGACACCTGCCATGCTGAAGCCTTCCCCAGGGACTCCAAGAGTTTCTCCTGAACAGAAAGACCATTTTCAACTCACTTGTTCTTCCTGTTTGGGAACTCTGGGGAACTGGGACTGGAGGAGCCATCAGACTTCAGGTCTAAAAAGGGTCCTGGACTCTCCAGCACCTTCTGGATTCTGTCAGCAACACCCCTACTGGGGTGAAAGGAAAACCAGCTACATGAGACATGAGTTACCACTGGGTTACTTAATGCTTCCTACAAGAGGAAATACAGAGAGGAATTTCTATGGGGGACACAGGTACAAGGTGCAGGTTGGGGCAGTTTGGAACACAGCAATCTTCTTAAATAGTCTACAAAAGAAGAACATTATCAGGACTGGGCCTTTTTATGCTTCTTTATGATAAAAATAAAAGACCTGAAAGGGTTTAAGATTTCAAAATTTCTTCTCAACTTGCTCCCTCCACCCCCATCCCACTAGAAATTCAGATCTTATTTAACCTGGAAGACTCTACAGTTGACTGGAGATTTAGTATTTTTATAGTGTCAAACATACCAAGGAGGTGACATTTGACTAACTGAGAGCAGCAGTGGTTTTTCTTTCAGACTGTATCAAACTTGTGTTTTTGCTGACACCTATTTAACTAATATATTTGTGAGGAAATCTCTTTGTGTGAATTATTCTGCAGTGCAGCCCCTTCAATTAGGAGCTGAGAAAACTCCCAGTCTTCACCTCAAGTCATCTGATGAGTCAACCAGCAAATGCAGGGAAAAGCAGATTTAGCATTCCTGATATATCTAAGGTGAAAACAAGCAGAAGAAAATCTAAAGAAACCCAACACCTTCTTTCTGTATTATAAAGAAGCAAATAAGGGCACAGACCCATTTTTCCACCTTTGCAGGAAATCTTTAAACATCTTTGAAGAGGATAGGGAGGTGAGTAACATATAAAGGGCTGGGCTGAGGAATGTATTTATACAAGATGTAAAATTGGTTAAAGGTAAGCCACAAAAAGTGCGAGTGTTGTGATAGTTTTTTATTTTAGATACATTGTTAAGGGGAACTTGCCACCATATAATTTATTGTTCTAAAAAAATACATCATTTTAAATAAAAATAAGTCTGTCAGTGTCTCTCTTAAGAAAGGGCAAGAGAAAGAGACATGCAGAGAGACTTCACAGGCACAGATTTTACCCATGGTGATGGTCACAGTTGTCTACATTCTGGGAGAGGGGGTTCTCTTCTCCTCTACACTGAGCCCTTTGACAGATTCCTGGATTTCATGAACAATTGGGAAGGTTTCATGTGGCGTATAGAGCAATTCAAAGGACTGGGCTTTGGATCTGGTATACACTGAACCCCTGATGCACACCACCCCTTTAGGGGCCCATTAAGAGATTAACAAAATAACCTGTACTGCTCAGTGTGCAATTTTCAAATGCTCATAACTCAGCTACACCAAGCTCTGGAAAAAGGCTGTGCTCTGCTCCTCAGTGAAGGCTACTTCTGTGATAGTCGGCAAATCTCAAAATTCAGCCATTTTGATTATAGCATGTTTAGAAAAGTTGCACAATTATTTATTTTAAAAGTCACAAGATTTAGTTACTATTTTAAAAAAATGGAAAAAAAATATTTTTCTCCACTCTCCTCTCATATGCGCACAGCAGAACTGTTTTTGTCACAGCAGGGATGGAACAGGACGGGCAGGAATCCTGGATCATCTTCTACTCTGTTTGATGAAGGTCCTGTCATCTACATTCCTGTTCCCCTCTCTCCTCCCCTTCACTCTGGTCTTGCCTCCCTCCCGTTTCCCTTGTCTACCCCTCCCCTACTTCTTTCCCTTCCTACTTCCTCTCAGTTCCCCTGGGTCCCAGCCCTATTTTCTCCTGCAGTCTGCTCCCATTCCTGCTCCTTTGATCCCACCTCTCCATCTCCCCTTTTCTTGTCTCCCCCAGCCTTCACCATCCTCCATCTCCCCTTGGTCCCAGTTCCTTCCATCTCTCCTCTCTCTTCCGCTGCCCCAGCACCCTTCATCCCACCCCACCCCACCCCACCCCATCCATTCCCACAGCTCTTACCTCTTCTCCTCCTGGATGTTCTCAATGCCAATGGCACTGCTGCGACGCCCGTGGAAGTGGCTGCCTCGGGTGCGTGATGGGCTCCTCCCAGGCAGGGCAAAGGACTAGAGAGAAGGCGAGTAAGGAAGTTATAGGAAGGAGGGAGGGGAGTATGAGAGACAAAGCAGTGGAGTACTGGAGGAGGGGGAGAGGGAGTGTGCAACCTGGATCCCAGACCCTCTTCTTGCATCATCTCTGATATGTAATAGTGCTGCCCAGAGCCCCCAAGGAACCAGAATTGAAGGAAGAACTCCTACAAGCTGTCAGTGAGGAAGAGAGGGGAGGAAGTGAGGGTTCAACACAGGCAGGGGTTTTAGGGGCTGCAGCCTGCAGCTCAAGGGGGGCCCTGCAAAAATAAATCACAGGCAGTGATCTCCAACTCCGGGCCACTAAAAGTCCCACGGCGCAGCAGGGCGCTCAGGCAGGCTGCCTGCATGCCCTGGCCCCACACCACTCCCATAAGCAGCCTGCTGCTAGCATGTCTCTGCGGTCCCTGGCAGGGGTGGGGAGGTAGTTCCACACGCTGCCACCGCTCCCAGCACCGTCCCCCTAAGGGGATGATGCTTGCAGGCGCGGGCAGTGCATGGAGACACACTGTCCCCCTCCCCCAGGGGCCGCAGAGACGTACTAGCAGCCAGCCACTTCTGGGAGCAGCGTGGGACCACGGCATGCAGGCAGCCTGCTGCGCCGCCGGGCCGGGAGCTGCCTGTGGTAAGCGCCTCCCGGTCAGAGCCTGCACCTCACACCCCTTCTTCCATCCCAACCCCCTGCCCCAGATCAGAATCCCTTTCCTGAACCCAAACTCCATTCCAGACCTCACACCCCCTCCTTCACCCCAATCCCCTGCCCCAGCCCCCTCCTGCACCAAACTTCCTCCCAGGAAAAAGACTTGTATACAGGGCCCACACAAAATCTAATAGTCCCGGGCCCACGTTAATCCAGCCCTGAACACAGATGCTAAGAGAGACAGAGAGGAAGAAAAACAGACAGGCAGAATGAGACGCAGAAAGATAAGAGACAGAGTGAGAGAAATGGAATGAGAGACAGAGGCTCAGGCAAAGAGTTACGTCATAAAGAGAGACACAGAAAGAGTTTGGAAGAGAGGCATAAACTCAGATTGAAAGGAGACACAAAGGTCTTGTCTACACTATGCAGCTTTTAGCGACAAGGCTGTGGCTAAAAAGTCAGTGTGTGTGAACGCTCTCTGTTGGTATTTTGTCGGCACTTTTGCCGACGCAATACTTCCAGCCCAATGAGCGGCGTTAGCTTTGTCGGCAGGAGAGCACTCCTGCTGACAAAGCTGCATTCACACTGCCACTTGTGTTGGCAAAATTTTTGTCTTTTGCAGGGGGGCTTTTTAAAGTACCCGTAAAAGACAAAAGTTTTGTCAACAATGTCGCAGTGTAGACAAGCCCAAAGAAACAAACAGACATACAGACTCAAAGAGAGAGAGGAAGGGAGAGAGAGAGAGCTCATCACTACTCTATGGCTTCTTAGTGCAGACATAAAGGATCTGTAAAGCTACAACATCTGTCCCCTGGGCTGCAATTCCCCAAAGAAAGGGACCTCCATGGTTGACATAGAGCTGGTGTTTTTGGCACTACACCAGCCCTGCTGGAGCCCCAGTGCAGAAGCCTTAGGCAGCCAGGTGCGAGTTAGCTAGGGTAACCATATTTTCAGAATCAGAAACCAGGACACTTTTGTGGCAACATTTTCGAGGGTCATGAAATATTCATACAGAAGACATGAGTGCACTTTTTCTTATACAACTAGGTGTTACTTCTGTCAGTGACACAGGCATATTTCTCAGAATGGAGCATTTCTCCTGGAATGTAGTGCTCTGAATGAGTTTATCATGCAACACCAACCAAGTATCCTTAACAGTCACATCAAGTAAAAGAATGGTTTTGGCAGTGCCTGTGCTCATCTAACTTTTCTCTCACTCCAAATACCGTTCATCCCTCTGAGTGCTTGTTCCACTGAACTGTTGTTCCTGACAAGTGAATTCTACTCAGCATAGCAATATGACTGGAACATACATTTTGTAGTTATTAAAAAATGAACATTTGATTGATGAAGTGAAACACTGAAACAGTTCCAGCATCCTGAAATTCTCAGTTCTCATCATATAAAAAACCGGGACTGTCTTAATAAAAATCAAGGTGTATGGTCTTTTTTCAGTTAGGGCAGCATGCAGATCCACAGCTAGTCCAGGATAAGGGAGGCACAAGGGTGATGTCAAGCCACCTCTATCCTTCCTCTCAAGCCCTGTGCCAAGCTCAGATCCAGTGTGTAGATGAAGGGACCCAGAGACATAAATGAAGACAAAACAGAGACACAGACTCAGCACGAGAGAGATGCACAAAGAAACACCCAGTCAGACACACAGAGACAGAAATGGAGTGATATAAACAGAAAAGATTCACAGAGGGACACACTAATAGGGATAGAGGGACAAAATGTGTGGGTGGATCATGGAGGATCAGAGACATGCTTGGCCCTTTCCAATGGCACTCCCTCCCGGTTCCTTACCGCAGCAATAGCCTTGGTGCCCTCGGCGACACTCTGGTTGAGAGCAAGGCCGGCAGTAGCCGGGCGGCTGGGCGGGGTTGCCGGCTGCTGTTGTTTCCTCATGGCTATCCCCATGGTATCCAGGCTCTGGCTGCGGCCTCGGATCACCCGCTGGACAGAAGGGAGACAGATAGACAGACGAAGAGACACAGACACACACACAGACACACATAAGGACAGTATGAAGAGCACCACGGAGGGGAGTGGGGGGGGGGGGGACAGACACCAGTACCAGAAATATCCTCCCTCCCCACTAGAGCTCAGCAGACCAAAAATTACCCATGGGAAAGGCCTGTTTGGTCCCATCTTGTCTATTTGCCCCCGGGTCAGTGAAAGATTGTTCCCTCTGCTTTCAGTTTCCCCCATCCTCCTGCAGGTGATAAAGAGATTCCCCACCAACACTACAACTTTCCTAAAAAGCCAGCATTACCTCACACAGTCATACCCAGTGCAAGAAAAGGGACCAAATCCCTATGTAAGGCTGGAGGGCTCAGTCCCATGCAGGCCTATGCAATGGCCATGAGAGAGAAGCTGCCCCACCGAATCCAGAGTACTCTGAAAAAGCCACTTCACAGGCCCCCTCCCTCTTCTCCAGCTCCTTAAAAGGCTGTCTGAACACAGCGATGTGCAGCAGCTGCCAGAGGCCAGAAAAACAGATTTTGGGGTATATGCGGACAGGCGCTGGACAGAGTCTGAAATTTTCTATTTATCCACTGAACAGATGCTGCAAGGGCAGTAAGCTAATCACTCAAACACACCCTACCAATGGGACTCAGCCATGACCTGCAACAATCACTTCTACAGGTGAGTGGGGAGTTGGCCCATTTTGTCCCCAGCAATTCTGATGAGGGCTGCCAACCAAGGGGGCTGACAGTGCCAAGTGAGATGCTGGTACCTGTGATATGGCTGTCTGTCCCACTAGGCATGTACATGGTGCAAGAAGAAAGGAAGAGAGATGGAGGCAGGGCCGTGCCTAGCTATCTTGGTGCCCTACGCAGCCCCCTCACGGGGGGCTGTGTGGGGCCCCAGGCCTCTGTGGGGGTGCTGTGTGGGGCCCCGCCCCAGGCCTCCGTGGGGAGGAGCGGGGGCTGGCCCCAGGCCTCCGTGGGGGACGGGGGGAGGAGGACTGGCCACTTTCTGTGGGAAGTGGAGTGACCCAGCCCCAGCCTGCTCTGCTCCTCTGGCTCCTAAGCGGGGGGGGGCAGGTGGGAACCGCCCCCCAGCACTCGCCGGCGGTGCAGCTGGGAGCCAGGGGAGTGGAGCAGGCTGGGGCCAGGTCGCTCTATTTACCGGTGACTGCAGGCCTGACCACTTCTGGAGTCCTCAGGGGAGTGAGGGTGGGCTGGGGTGGGGCAGGAGCGTGAAGAGGCAGGGCTGGGAAGAGGCGGGGGCGAAGCAGGGGCGGGGGCCTTGAGGAAGAGCCAGAGCAGGGGCTGTAACAGCACACAGCTGAGTACTTTGCGTATGGGTAAGGACGGCCCTGGATGCAGGCAGTGGAGTGAGAACCAGCACACTCATTCCCTCCCGTTTGAGTAGGCCAGTGATACTCAGACAGGAGGCTCAGGAGCTGCAAGTTGCTCTTCAATGTGTCTCCTGCAGCTCTTTGCAGCACATGATATTAAAATACCATGATTCAATTATTTATTAACCAAGCTAAGTTATTAATCAATCAGGATGCTTTTATTGTAGAATACTTAGTCAGTCATTTTGCTGTGAGAATAGTATATATAAAGAGAGAGAAAGAAAGTAAATGAAACAATGAATTCATACTATTGTGGCTCTTTTGGGTAATGCTGATCACTAATTTGGCTTCTGAACCATTGAGATCTGAGTATCACTGGTATATGCGTTCCCTCCTTCACATCACCCTGACCCTGCGCTCCTGGAGATTGTCCATTGATTTCACCTCATCATACAAAAAAGAGCTTGTGATTTAGAGGGAAAAAGATGTATCTCAGTATTCCAAAGCATCTAGATACTACAGCAACAGTTGTGTTAGAAACAACCATCAGATGGGACCTTCCCAGCTGCTGCTGCTGTCCTGGAGCTAGGCTGGAGCCAGTGTGCTGCTGGGGGACAAAAGGCTCTGCCACCCGAGCCCATCATACTTCCTTCTGCAAGCTCCTGATCTCTTTTCTATACATCAGGGGAATTGTGTCCTCCTTGCCACTAGATGCCAGCCAGGGCCAAGGCTAGGGCCAGGGGGTCTAGGGCTTCATTTCATCCCACCCAGAGGCCTCACATTAGGAACAGCATGGGATGCTGTACTGTGCCAAGCTGCATCTCCCCTGAGTGGGGAGGGAGAAGCTGCATTTCTCCTTTTGAGGTATATAAAAATACATTGCAAAATGTGGATGTTAAGAAGGAGCCACATTTCCCCCCCCACTCCCTGCCACCCCAAGCACACATGCCCAACAGGGCTGATGTATCCTGAACTGGGACTGAGCTGGGTGGCAGCCGCTCTGAAAGAGGGGTTGGTTTAAGAGGCTGCAGCAGTTCTTGATTTCTCACCTTGAAATTTTCAAAGAAGCCACCACCCCCATTCTCCATCTTGTCATCGTCCCCAGAGGCCAGGCCCATCATGCTGCGGCTATGGAGCTGCAGCTCCTCAAAAAGGCTCTCTAGGAGGGCACTGCGAGTCCGCTCCTACACCAGGGCAGAAAGAGAGAGTGGGAGAAAAGGGACAGAATAGAATAACAGAAAAAAGAAAGGACAGAGCACTGAGAGAGGGGGAGAGAGAGAATGAACTCTCCTATATTTCAGATATAATTGATACATCCCACTTTCTCTAGTGTTAAGAGGAATATGATTTCTTCCAAATGTGGACCCTTCTCTAACTTCCTTATTCTCCCCCAACTCTGAAGGCAGATATACTGCCTTAAGCTATTTTTTGTGCTCTTTTTCTTCATTTCTTCTGTTTTCCATTTCCCTCAGCCCGTCTTAGAAGAGCCTAGGAAATGAAATCAGGGTGGATAAAAACTGATTATTTAAAATAAATAAATAAATAAATAAAGTTTCTTCATTTAAATCAGATTTTCTTTCTTTAAATTAAATACATTTTTGTTCTTAAAAATAAACCTATTTGAAATTATGACAACCTATGTTAAAAATAATTTAAACTAAATTTACAAAATATAATCTTAATCAGTACATGTTTGCTGCCAAAATTTTAAAGAATGTCACACTGCTGAACTGGTGGAAGACACTGGCTAAGCACCTGGAACCAGAGTTTGTTGAAGTGCTAGCTAGTGATAGTCTTTTGCAGGCACAGCATGACTATTTTCTTCATTTCAGTTTATTCAACTAGTTCTGTTCAACGACTAGTTCCTTCAAAGTTAAAAAATGGACCGGGAGTTTAAAAAGCAGGAAAGCTTGTCTCCCTCTTCCAATCTATGAATAAAAACTAGGTGTGAAGATGAGGCCTACTAGTTCTAAAGCCTTGAAGGACATGCTGCCAGAAAAAATAGTACAGTTCACTCACTGCAGAGGATACTTACTTTGTTTAATAAATCAGTTGATTTTAAATGCAAACATGTTCTGATAAACTTACTTTTTTAATTTATTAAGTAGTTTAAACTATATTCCAATTTCCATCCAAATACAGCTTGACACAAATCACACAAAAAAAATCTAATAAATGAAGAAATATATAATTCACATCTTCTAACTTAATAAACAAATGTAAAAATTAAGAATTTAAATAAATGCATGTTAAGCAATATAATTGCTTAAATAAATGTGTATAGATATAGTGAATCCTCCTGGCTAGCAAAAAAACAAGTATCAAATTTAGTGTAAAAATTATATTTGGTTGCAAATCAATATGCTTTAATGGTTATCAACCAGTGCAAATAAACCTTTCTTAGGAAAATAACTAAAAAGGATAAATGGAAAACAAGATTAAAATTGATTACGGTATTTAAATCAAGATTTTGTACTTGCTGATTTAAATCAAATGCAAAAATCTAAGTTCATGCAACATTAAGATTGGGTGGCTTTCACTGTACAAAGTCAGGTAATGTAACCACTAGAGTTCTAGTAGCAGCCACTTTGCACATACACCAGATATTCTATTCTTGTTTTGGAGGGGTTACATGTGTACTTTAATATAGATATATATATAATAAAACATACAAGAAACACCACAAGGCTGAGTTAACATTTAATTTACTTTATTTTATTTTTAAGGGACTTTAATTTCCTAAGAGTTTCTATATCTTTCATTAATTGTGCAGCCTTAACCTGGCACTAAAACAGTTTTTTGCATTTATTAAATATTAATGCGAACACTCACATACACAGACCCACCTCTAGTTTGGCAAACTTTTCAGCCTGGTAGCAGCTGTACTCAGCATTAATTAGCTTAGCCAAGAGGAATTCACGAAACTCTGGACCCTGTGGGAAAAAAAAGGAAGTCTAGATTGGAAATGGTAACCTAGGAAAGGTTCTGGATATACATTTCCTTAACCCACCAGGGTTATCCAGCCCCATCCTGAAGCCAGATTGGAAACAGCAACCTACAGGTGAAGGAGTGTGTAAATCACACAACTAATCCCTGCATCGCTTGCTTACAGGACTCATCAGAGACACAAACCTTTTTAAATATGGCTGGATTTGGGAGAGGGGGTCCAAAGAATGGGACGTCATCTCGAGCTGTTACTGAAACCTGAAACAATACAGAAGAAACCACTTCTACATCATAACAAGAACCAGAATGTCACATCCTCTCACGGCGATGAGCTTGTACAGGAACTCCTCACTTAACATTGTAGTTATGTTCCTTAAAAATGCAACTTTAAGCGAAACGATGTTAAGCAAATCCAATTTCCCCATAAGAATTAATGTAAATGAGGGGGTTAGGTTCCAGGGAAATTTTTTTCACCAGACAAAAGACTATATTTTACACACACACACACACACACACACACACACACACACACACACGCGCACGCACACACGCGCACGCACCAGAGTTTTAAACAAACAATTTAATACTGGTACACAGTGATGATGATTGTGAAGCTTGGTTGCGGTGAAGGAGTCAGAGGGAATGCCTTACTGCTAAATGAACTAGCAATTGACTGAGCCCTCAAGGGTTAACTCTCACAATACTCTACAAGGCAGCAGGAAAGGAGGGAAGGCAGATAGAGACACACACCCTGTGTGTGAGAGACAGAATGCACATTTCCCCTTTAAGTAGCTGACCCAGGCTTAAGTACACTGCCTTGTTAATTAAATCAGCTTGCTGAGACCCGCAGCTACTGCCTAGAAGCTCCCTCCATCCGTCTGTCCCCCCCCCTGCTCTATGGAAGATGGGGTAAGTGGGGTTCAGGAGCAGGGGGGAGGGGGAGACACCCTGACATTAGCCTCCCTCTTCCCTCCTCCCCCCGTACAGCAAGCCGGAGTCTCTGGAAGCAGCTCCAAGGCAAAGGGCAGGAGCAGCACATGGCAGTGGGGGGAGGGACAGCTGGTGCACAGGGAACTTAGGGGAGTGTGGAGTGGATGGGGGGCTGCTGGTCCACCCTGGTTCCAATCACCCACCAGCTAGCTGCAACGGGCTGCTCTTCCTGCAAGCAGTGGACAAAACAGGCGGCTGCCAAATGACTAGAAGGGAGCATTTCACAACTTTAAACGAGTATATTCCCTAACTGATCAGCAACTTAACATTGAAACGTTAACCAGGAAGACTTTAAATGAGGAGTTCCTGTATAAGACCGGAAACAGAAGTCATGGACCCTGAAAACATCCGGTGATGTGAATCAGTCCCATAATACAAAACTAAGGGGCACCTGATTTAATTAAGGGTAAATACATTTCAAATAAATCAAAGGCAATACTTCTCCACAGCATGTAATCTGTAGTGTAGTCAGCAGACGGTTCTATGCCAGCTAAGTCCCAAGTGTATATCCAAATAATATATGATTATACCACAGAAGAACATCAATTTTATGAATCCAGTCTTCTGAACAACCATTTATCCAAATAATTTTCCCTGATAAGGGGAAAAGAATATTATGTAACAAAAGTGATGTCGATGAAGAACAAGTCAACATCCCTTCACATCCTGATGCCTTCAATGCAATGGAAATCACTTTACTGTGGTTTGAAGGACAAAAAGAAAGTGATGCAGTGCACCAGACTGAAATTTATGCACTGTATCTGCTGCAGTATTGAGATATTCAATGTAATCAATTCCTCAATCCCCAATTAGTTTCTAACATAGTTCTACCGTAATATATACCCAGTTTATATAGCATTTTTCTTACACACACACACACACACACAGCCTGCATTACATTAGCTGAGTACCTTACAATCATTAAATTAATGTATCCTTGAAATATAGAGCAGCATTATTCTTTTTCCCATTACAGATGGAGAACTGAAGGAGACACATTCAGCAGTGACTCACCCAAGATCACAAAGGAAATCTGTGGCAGAGCCAGGGATTACACACAGACATAGCAGGGTGTCTGTCTCTTTAAGGATTATAAGGACTAGTGGTCAATCAACACCTATTCTTTTTCATGTCCCTTAACTCCTGAGACTTTTTAGAGTAAATGAAGACCTAGAGAAGGCAAAGTTGGTGTTGGGAGAGAGGAGGATGGTCCCAGGAGAACAGTTAAGGCCTGGGGGGAAATCCAGGCTATTGTTTCTTTAAAAGCCTGGGACAGGTCTCTCCCAGCTAATCTGGACAAGCTCTGGGAAGAAGACTGTATATATTGTCTCTTCCCTCAGAACAAGGGAAAAACCAGCAGGGGAGGTCTGGTAAAATGACTAACTGGTAAAAAAGGTGAGCTGGAGAAGCTTGCTAAGGCTCTATATTTGGTTTAATGCTGGGAGCTGGAGCGGATAAAATTTGGACTCTGGGGACTTTATTTTGACTGGAACAGTTTATGAGAATAAACCAGGGTATTACTGGAAAAGAAAAGCTTGTGTGGAGTTTTAAGGAGTCCAAGAGGGGAAATGGAGCCGGACCCCCTGAGCCATGCTTGGCCAGAAGGGGGCAACAGAGGATAGGCACACCCTTCAATGCCTGATCTCTCTTGTCCCAGGCTAGTTCCCTAAGCCATAAGACCATCTCCCACTAGAGACCTGGCTAGTTAAAATCTTGCATTACCTTGGGAGGAGGTTTGAGCATTGACCTGCTAAACCCAGGGTTGTGAGCTCAATCCCTGAGGGGGTCATTTAGGGATCTGGGGCAAAAATCTGTCTGGAGATTGGTCCTGCTCTGAGCAGGGGGTTGGACTAGATGACCTCCTGAGGTCCCTTCCAACACTGATATTCTATGATTTCTTGACTCTGAGGAAAGATTAAAATAACCAAGTACTATGGTCAAAATTTTCAAATATGATTGTCTAATATTAAGCACATAGTATCAGTGCCCAAATGTGGACCTAAGGTAGGGAAAGCATTGACAGAAAAACCTGCCCATAGTGAAATCTATTATGCTGCAGAATAATCTCCCAGGAGAAGTGGTGAAAGGTCCAATGGAAATGTACTGTAGCCTATAGGGAATGATTCTGCAGTGGCTCCTGGGCAATGGCCTGGAGTATTTTTAGTTTTTTCCCATCTATAACTCCAATGATGGAAAGGATGGCCAGAACAATCCCACCAGAGACTGTGCAAGGAGGGTTCAACAGCAGGGATGGACTAAGAGACACAGCAGATGCCACCCCTGCTTTCACTTTGATAAGGGCCCACAGTGAATTTCTGTGGCCCCCTAAAATGAACTGGGGGAGCAAATGGGGAGTCTCACTCCACAGTGAGCAGCAGTGCTGTGAAGGCTGCCCTTCCCTCTGGCTGGTGGGAGATGAGCAAACAGGAGAAGTCAGCCTGTCCACCCACAGAGCCATGGTTGGCTAGATAGCCAAATCCTCTCCCTACTTCCTTCTGCCAACTCTCCTGGGATTCATAGAAGAGATTGCGATCTGTGATAATCTAGTCTGACCTACATAACACAGGCCACAGAGCTTCTCTGTAATAATTCCTGTTTGGACTAGTGCAGGGTTCTCAAACATGCGGCATGTTATTTCCTGCGGCCTGCCATAGGTGCTGAGGATGGAGCACCCACGGGGAAAAATTAGTGGGTGCTCTGCATCCACCGGCAGCCAAGCTCACCTCCCCCCCACCCCCTCCTCCTCTCACAGCGCACCGCGTCCCTGCTCCTCCGCTTACCTCCCAGCGCTTCCCGCTGACAGCTGTTTGGTAGCGCGTAGGACTTTCCAGGAGGGAGGGGGGAGGAGCGGGGACGCGGCGCACTCAGGAGAGGAGGCTGGGGCGGGGATTTGGGGAAGGGGTTGGAATAGGGGCAGGGAGGGGGAGGAGCTGGGGCAGGGAGGGGGAGGAGCTGGGGCAGGGACGTTGGGGAAGGGGTTGGAATGGGGGTGGGGAAGGGATGGGAAGAGGCGGGGCGGGGGGGCCTCATGGAAGGGGTGTAGTGGGGGTTTTGCAGTCTGTTACCAACCAAATTTGAAGTTCTCAGCTATTTTACTTGACAATTGGAGTACTAGACCATTGTGATATCCGTGATAACTCAACCAATCACCACCCATACTCAATAGCTAATTTGCATGCTACAGTTTCATTGGTTGTATGAGGGAAACTTCACAGATGGTGGATTACTTGGCCCGACTGCCACCCCCTTGTGCCTAGCTGTCACCTCACATATCAACACAACCACCTACACAACAACACAACCAACAAGTCCAAATACAGATAGCCCTTCACCCCAGTACACATCCCTTATTTGCCACCAACACAAATCAACCAAAATCTCCCAGCACAACACAATCCAGGCACAAATCAACACAGCTTTCCATCACAACACACATTTGCCCACCCTCACTCATACTTACCTTAAACTTGAGTGGCTAAGTGGCATGTCCTTTGCTAGTAAGCATATATTGGGCTACTGTGACAAAGCAATAAAAGTCAGCAGAAAAATCACTGTAAGATGCTATACAATTTAAGGGTGTTGAAAAAAGATATATATTATATGAGAAACAGTACATGACCCTGTAATTAAAAGATTACATGATAACACAGTCTCAAAGGTGGAGAGAAAAAGTTGTGTGTGCAACTCTAATTTTGGCACGTGTGCTTAACTGTGCAGTCTTTACAGTCTCTTAGTGTATTTTTTTGTATGGAATTTTGCAAACAATTTGCAAACAACACTGAGACTGGTTTTGTCTCAGGATATCAAACCTAATATTGATGCTTTTGTTGATGCAAAACGCTGCCAGCTAAGTGGCCAAAAATGAAATGACTGTCTAAATTAGCACTGACTTTTCGCATTACAGTTTTTAAAAAGTTAATACATTGACTTTTAATAGCATACTATATTACTCTTCATTTTTTACTATACTTTTGTATCGTTGTATGAAAAGGTTTCAGTGATGCGGCCCTCGGTCCAATGTACTAGTCCTCATATGGCTCTCGTGGTAATTTGAGTTTGAGATCCCTGGACTAGTGCATATCTTGTTAAATCAATATTGGATGTTTTTTCAAAAATTGTCAGTGATGGAGAATCCACAACAATTCTGGTAAGTTCTTCCAATGGTTAATTACCATAATTGTTCAACATTTGCATCTTATTTCCAATATGAATTTGTCTGGCTTTATCTTCTAGGCATTGGATCTCGTTAGACCTTTCTCTGCTAGACTGAAGAACTCTCTAACTGAATTGCCATTCCTCATGTAGGTACCTATAGAATGTGATCAAATCACCCCTTAACCTTCTCTCTGTTATACTAAATAGAATTGAGGAGCTCAATCCATCACTATAAAGTAGGTTTTCCAATCCTTTGACTATTCTCATGGTTCTTCTCTGAGCCCTCTCCAATTTATCAACAGCCTTTGTGAACTGTAGGCACTAGCACTAGACACAGTATTCCAGCAGCAGTTGCACCGGTACCAAATATAAAAGATTGGAGAAGGAACTGTATGGGCTGTACATGCAATGGCTGTGCAGGCCAAGAGTATGAGCTTGACTGCGGGGCAGGAAGCAGCCTGAGAACGTGGCCACTGTGAGCCTGCCTTGTGCAAATCTGACGGTCAGCCAGAGCCCAGAGTGGTGGCCCTGGATCCAGGACTGGATTTACACCTTACACACCCTTAGGCACAGCATCTTCAGTGCCCCCCCTGCCTCCTTATGTGGCCCTGCCTGGAGCCTCCCTCCCACATCCCCATGTGGCCCCGTGAGCCCCCAGCAGCCCTGTGTGGCCTGCTCTGCCTCCTAACCTGGCTCCAAGAAGGCTGCTGTGCCTGTCACTTTTCACTTGAAGAAAAAATGACACACGCCTGCTAGGTGTTTGCTGCTGCCCGCCTGACCAGTCAGCCTCAGCCAGCTCAGGCTGTTCTGGTGCCACAGCGGCCTCTGGTGGAAGAAAGGCAGAACTGCAGCACATTTTCTGCAGAAAACAAATTCTGCCTCCCTTGGAAAAGAATACTGCACATGCTGCAAACGTCACCTAAGGAGATGGGGCACGATGTGAGACAAGCGGCTTGTGGGGTGTCTCATCACGGGACGGGGCAGATCTGGAGGCTCCCAAGAACTCCGGAGCAATTCGGCCAGCAGCAGTAGGGCAGTAAAATAGCCCAAAATACCACAACTCGCAACTGCTAAAAAGCCCTGGCAACAGACAACTAAAAATAGCCCAATTGGGCTAGAAGATCACATACTTGGCAATCCTCCCTGTACACCCCTAGAATGCCTACTGTGCCTAATTGGAAATCCGTCCCTGCCCGGATCGCTGATGTGGGGCCCTGGGACTGTGTGCATGGTGACTGTTATTGATAAAGCAGTTGGAATGATGTTTAGGTGAATTCCTGCCTCCCCAAAAGCTGGAGGAAGGGTCTTGCACTCCAGGCAAGGGGCAGAAGTTTGAATGAACTACCAGCAAGGGGATCCCTGACCAAACAGGGGGCCCATTGGCTGTGTTTACCTTGTAGAGGGTCTCCCCAATGGCACCATGAGCGAGCTGTACCACCACATAGGCATGCAGGAAATTAGATGCTATCATGTCAGGGACAAAGGGAGTGTTTTCATCCTGGAAGACAATGGCCACAATGTCGTTCCCAATGTGACGCTTCCGCTGCAGCTGGAGGGAGCAAATGAAATGAGAGAAACCAGTAAGAGGGGAGATTCCTTCCCCAGCCACCAACCCATCCGGCACCCCCAAACCACACCCCCAGCTGGAAACCCAACCCCAGCCACTAATCTACACCCATCCCTAGCCACTGCCTACTCCAACACACACCCAGTCCCTTGCCCCATCCACCAGTTCACTCTCCCATCCTCCTGAATCACTTGGTGCCTCCCCTTATGGTACCTGCTGGGCATCTCCCTCTGTGAATGGCAGCTTCGTAGATACATGGAACATGATCTCCTTGCCCCGGAAATTGGTATAGACTGATTCGGTGCCAGTTTGACCCCTCGTGACATCCAAGCCTCCTCGGAACCTGAATGCATTGGTACCATGTGGTGCGGGGAAGGAAGTAGACACCAGTAATGCTATTCAAGGTTGTCATCAGAGACAGGTTTAAGAGCTCAGTGGTTGAACGGCACCATGCACTCCAAAAATCAATGCAGTAGCTAGACTGCTGTACGAAATTCCTATTGGCATCATCCTCTCTCCACTGAGAACTAGAGAGGCATCTATTCCTGCCAAACCAGGCGGCTTTGGAGGAGCAATCATCTCTGCCACTCTCAGGGGAAACATCTCCAGTTGAGAAATGTGGAGAGCACAGGGTACCACACAGAAGCAGATGGTAAGGACCAAGGCTTATCAATGCCCATTAGCACCTCAAAGCAGCACAGGATAGTGTGAATATGGTCAATGCTCTGTCATTCTCTGTTGATCCTTGTGGGCCAGTCCCAGTTGCTGTCAGTCACGCAGCTTAACATTTCGGAGAAAAGCATCCCAGGAAAGAGTCCTGAGAATCTCCCATGAGAAATCCCCAACCATTCAGCCCAGCTCCCAGTCATGAGACACAACCCCAAACACTGCCTATTGGAGAGAGCCAGAGCTGGCAAACCAGACTGGATACTGAGATATGTAAATGCACAGCACCAGCAGGGAATGGAACTCCAATATGATCCCAGGAGAAACGATAGGCCAAGCCTTTCTGGGAATTCCCCACAGGATGCACAGCTGGAGCTCTATTTAGCCTAAATGGGGGCTGAGTTCTTTTGAAAATCCAACCCATAATGTAGTGTCAGGGATGTGGCCCTCTAACAGATGGACCCACAAAGAGGATATGGGCCTGCCAGCAGAAGGAGACCTGCTTTGTGATTTTTTGGAGCTGAAGACACATGGGTCTACTTTACGCTCCCCAAGACTGTGCTTCGTACCTTAATTGTGTCTGACTGCAGCCCCCATGCTGTGCTGACTGGTCACTCCCATGTTGTCCCCTGCTTACCCACGGAAATCCTGCAGCTGGATCCTGTCTCCAAGGTACTCCAGGAACTCCAAGAAGGCCAGACTCTCTTCAGTATTACTGAAGACTTCTTCCTCTGTGGTCTAGAAGGGGAGAGGAGAGATGATAAGCAGAGATTATTCCCCATACACACTCTCACCTCTCCTCGGATCTGGAGAGGAGGAAAAGAGAAAAACTGATATGGGGAAGGCTCACTTCCCTTCTCACACACACAGTCTACATCCTCTCACCTCAGTGGGGTCCAGAGCCCTATCCCCCTATATATAATGGAAAATGGTCTCCTTTTCCTTGAAATAAAACAAGGTCTGTCCTCCAGCACTGAGAACATGGAGAATGCGAATCTCACTCTGGTGCCAACAGGGGGTTCTCTCCCTGTGGACAATGCAGAGGGGAGAGAAGTCTCTAGGACTCAGAGGGCTTCCTTGGGTCCACAAGGAAGAAGATCTCAAGACAGCACCGAGGGGTCCCCAGAACCAATATGACAGAGAAGGCCAATGCCTGCAGGGGGCACAGTCTCCCAGTTGAGGTGCACTAATGTTGCAGCAAGGAGAGGAGACATTAGGACAGAAAATGATACATAGTACCAGTGCTTGGTACCACTAGGAGCTGTTCTCACTAGAGTGGGACTGGGGCTCATAAACAGCAAAGAGAAACTAGAATTCTCTAGGGCTAAAATTGCAGGGCATGAACCCTTGGATCCAGAGGAAGGCACTAGGTTTGGCCTCATTGACAGGGTGATGTGAGGAGAGAAGACCCCAAGACTCAAGAGTGACAGGGAATGAAAAAAAATCCTTGACCCCAGGTTGGCTTAAATTGCCTTCTATAGGGTTGGGGTTGAGAAATGTGACCTGGTGTGTTTGGGCCTGAGGGTGCTTGGTTGTGGAGTGCAGAGAGCTCACCTGCCCAGCTTTCTGGTAGATGACCCCAAATTTGAAGTTATTGCTTATGACGTGTTCATCAAAGGCAACAATGAGCTGGGAAGCCTGGGAGGGCGGAAAGCATAAAGTCTCGGTCACATCCCACCAGCAGCCCCTGTCATCAGAGGGACAGGCAGGTGGGAAGCTACTGTAAACATACCTTGGGGTAGAGGACAGGGAAGAATCGGTCAACATTCACGTCCTCACACAGCAGCTGCCGAGAGAGAGAAAGAAGGAAAAGTGGTGATTGATTGCCACTGTTGTGAGCTGTGACTCCCCTTCCTACCCTGACTCGCTACAGGCAGGAGGGTGAGGTGGGCTTTATAATCATCTGGCAGGAGTCTCTTGGTAAGAAAATCTAAAGCAAAGTGAGGAGAAAAGATACATGAGAAAGGGCCAAAAGACTGGAGAAGAAGAAGGGAAAAGAAAGGTGAGAGAGAAGTGAGAAAGGAAACTGAAGAGTGAGAGTTAAGCAGAGCTAGACAAAGGGTATGTCTACACTGCAATCAGAAGTGTGATGGCAGCCTCTCTAGACATACCCGAGCTAGCTGTGAGCTGTCTAGATCATATAACAGCAATGAAGTTGTGGCAGCACAGGCTAGCCACTCAAATATGTAGGTTCCAGTTGGGCTTGGATAGCCTGTGGCTTCACTGCTATTGTTATTCAATCTAGTTAGATCAAAGCCTGCTCGGATATGTCTACAGATGCTGCACTCTGATTGCAGTGTAGACATACAGGAACTCCTCACTTAACGTTGTAGTTATGTTCCTGAAAAATGCGACTTTAAGCAAAACGATGTTTCATAGATTCATAGATTCTAGGACTGGAAGGGACCTCGAGGTCATCGAGTCCAGTCTCCTGCCCTCATGGCAGGACCAAATACTGTCTAGACCATCCCCGATAGACATTTATCTAACCTACTCCTAAATATCTCCAGAGATGGAGATTCCACAACCTCCTTAGGCAATTTATTCCAGTGTTTAACCACCCTGACAGGAAGTTTTTCCTAATGTCCAACCTAAACCTCCCTTGCTGCAGTTTAAGCCCATTGCTTCTTGTTCTATCCTTAGAGCCTAAGGTGAACAA